GAGAGAGAGAAAGAGAGAGAGAGAGAGAGAGAGAGAGAGAGAGAGAGAGACAAAGTAAAGAAAGGTTGTCGAGCCGCGACGTTGAAAAGATGGCAGACGCTATGTGTTTCAGTGTCTCATTCGCGAAGCGATTATCACGTTTTTCCACAAATCATTGGAACTTTGTTTTTTTACGTGTCTCGCAGAGATTCTATCGCATGTTTCATACAACTCTTTACGATATCTAGCAATCTTCCATTTCAAATTGATTAATAAAAATACACTGTCTACGATTCTTTCAATTAATTAACTACCTTGTACCTGTGAGATCTCTAAGATTCTCACGATCATTTTCTTCATTGTTAATCAAAATTATATTTCAGACTCAACTAATCGTTCGTGTAATATTACGAATAGCAACGTTCAATAATTAATGTAATAAATATATAAATAAAAAGAATCTGCACATTACTTCTTTCATTTTGACAGTATCAAATTTTTATAGCCAAATGAAAATATATTTAGATAACTAATAAATAATTGTTATAATAAATACAATGGTGTGCAAATACTTTTTAGCCACTATATTGTATATTTTCTTTGCTTGCACCAACGCAAATTCAAAATTTCTATAAAACTTATATAACATATATAACATACTTTTACCCATAGTTTGTGTCCTTTTATGTATTTTACATTAACTTTTTTTTATACTAATGACACGTTACTCTATATATGAAACAAATAAATATAAGTGTAAATAAATAAAGTACAAATAAACTTTCCTGTATTAATTTGCCTGTCACCAACTCTCATTCATACGTTCATCTTCCTTTTCTTAGGCAAACGTCAGTCAAGCCGAATACGAAAGAGCACACAGAGAGTACCTGATGAGATTGCAGTCGTCGCTCGACGAGCAAACTTTTGGAAGCAAGAAGATGCTACACGTGTTTCCTGCTACAGGTAACCAGAGATGCTTGATCGCGTGTCGAGATATTCTCCTTCGATCTCGAATCGTCGGTACTTTAGTATTGGTTCGAGAGAACTCGCAATCTTTCGGAACGCAAAATATCGTACGATCTTTCTGAAAAAATATACATGCCCACGCTATAATTACTACTTGTGTAAACATCGAGCCTCCTAGTTTCCGCCAGTTCGGCAACGTCGAAGTTTTACCAGACGTATCTGGAATCAATCCGTATCGAACTAACCGCGATTATCAGTTTTTCGTGTTAACCTGTTAACAGTGAAAGGCAAATTAATTCATCGCTCACTAATTTCTTGAATATAATGATTTCTTTATTTAGAAATTATTATTATTTATTAAAAAGTTTTGTCAAAAGTATAATTTGTTATTTCGTAGGTTTATCTATTTTTAGAAAATAAATATAATATTCTTAGAAGTTATTTTCTTTCCAATCATCATACTTATTAATTATAAGTAAGTGATATAAAAATCAAAGAATGAACAAAAATATACTTATCTTTTTCTCTATGTTCTTCTAATGATAGTCTTAATCTTATATTAATATCATGTAGATCCATTGCATGTGATTACCAGACAATCATCGATATCCAAACTATAAAAAGCATAGTACATACAGTAATTTTGCGAAAAAGTAAATTTGACCTAAATTAATCTAATTGAAATTACTTTATTATTAAGTTGTAATTTTGTGATTTAGTAAACTGAAAGAATATGTATGCAAATATTTTGAGACCAATTGAAACAATGTTACCTGATAAAAATAATATATCAAATAATTTCTATATTTTTGCGTGCATCCTATCCAATTTTGCATCTTTGAATTTAACATCCACAATTTGGAGATGACTTAATTCTTCATTTTCTTCATTTTTCATCTAATTTTTTTTTTTTTTTCTTATTTACGATTCATCTAATTAAGAAGAATATTATTAGTTTATATCGTAAGTAATGTCGTGATTTCGTATTTAATTTGAAAATATAAACAAATTTTTGTCACATTTATTTATATATTTCATTAATTAATGAATAATATCTGCACTTTCTTTTTTAAAGGTATTTATCTCATTTGTAATTTCTTACTTCTATAAAAAATCGTTGCCATTTTGATGCAAGATATTCTGTTACAATTTCGAGATTCGTTATAAATTTTTTACAACTTGCGTGAGTTGAATTTTTTTACAACTTGTTTATTTTGCAGCTAGCTTGTTTATAGCATTTCGTAGTGGTTGAAATAAACTGAAAGAATCTGTTGGCACTAAATTTAGAAAATAAAGCGAGCAACGCATATATTTTCAATTATACTACTCTTAAATATTTCATCCAATGCTTTTTCTATACATATACACGCGGCTGATCATTTTTATGATGAAACAAAATTCCTTTCTGACATATTGCTACTAATGATTTCTACTAATATTACTACTGATGATTTCTACTAATATTCCAATAGTTATACTTATAGCGTAATTGTTAACTGTAAATTTCAGTAGTTAGTTACCGTTTGACCTTTATCTCAGAAATTCAAAGTGCACAGTAAGAAACACATCACTCGTGGAATGACTTAATATAAAGGAAATTTTCTCGCTTTCTCGCTTCGCTTAATGCGACTCCATTTCGATTTACTTCGATTCGATTCGACTTGATCCTCGTTTTATTTTCTTCATTCCCGTTTTCGCGTTACTTCGCTCAAGAGACCTCCACGAGGGGGCATCTGCGTTATTATGAAACAGAAATTCTGTTCTGCGATGGAATGCCGAGCCAACGAGTAAGCCTCGAATGTAATAAGAACTAATCGTCGAAGATTGATTTCTCGACGGCTGTTACGCTAGTGACTTTTGTCGATCGTCGATCGTAGATCGCCGACACTATTTAAACCCTAAACTTAACTTTCCTTACTGTCGTCCTTACGTTCTCGTCTCGAGAGTCTTGATCATAGAGACGCACCGATTCTACGAAAACTAGCTAAAAATATCATAAAACACTATTTATAAAGATATATATACGAGCCGGAATATTTTAAGTAGCAGTGTGGTGCAAGGTAACCTACAATCGATGAGAGTGAAATATTCGAAGAAATCGTCGATTCTCCGTTCCGTGGAACACGTGGGCTCTTGCTCGATAACTTACATAAACCGAAACTACCAGAATATCACCAATTCCTAAATTTCTCTTCGCTTCGTGTT